TTTTGATAGGTCACTAGTCCGAAATAACACCTTTGGGTTTTGCCAACCCTAAATTTAATCAGGATATACAATATGTCTATTAAATGAAAACTTAATTACTAACATTTCATCACAACTAAAGCAATGCACCACTTTTTTTTAAATCCACAGTGATATGATACCCATAATACATACCCATAGTACATATCCTTTATTTCTAATGACATCTAGTGTAACCAACTAAAAATTCCCCCTTTGCTCATCCTCCACGTTTATAGGAAAAGGTGAACATTTACACTGGCAAAACACCAGGAGAAGACTGATTTCATCTAAAATAAAAGCTTAATCCTTTTCCCCCTTCAGGCTGAGATTTGATAAGAAAAGCAAATCCGTTATTCTGTGTTTGAAATGATAGGACCAAAATTAGATTTATTTAATGTGCAAAAATAGTTAGGAATCTGGTATAAAAATAATATATGCAAATGTTCGAGTGATAAATGAGTTAAATAAGAAAAGAAAGGACAATATTTCAGACTGTGTGTGTGCGTGTGTGTGTGCGTGTGTGTGCGCGTGTGTGTGTGTGTCCCTGATGGCCTTTACCAACAGGGTCTCTATGTTCTTTTTCGAGAAGTTTCATTTAACTTATCAGCCCAAACAAATGAAAAGAGAAACTCTTCTTTGCTTCTTCTGTCCTAATACTAACTAAACCAATGGCAGAACAAGAATGTTGTCTTTGTTACTTTATGACAAATAAAAGCAAAGGTTTCCAAAAGCGTCTTTTTATTAACACTATGACAAATTTGCTTTTGGATACATTAAACCCTCAGAAAGTAGCACGAGGATTCCTAAGAAATACAGTGATAAGCTCTTCAGTCGAAATATTTTTGAATGTATCTAGGTTTGTCCTTGAACAAAACAAAAAAAAGCCTGGTTAATTTGATGACTATGTCACAAATTAAAAAACATTCTGAATTGACTTGACCTTGTGTCTGAAATGTTGCTAATTGTATGCTAATTTTTAAAAAAGCAAGTTGTAGCTTTCCGCTTTTAGCACTCGGGAACTTAAATGTATCAGAATCTTTTTTAAATTATTTATTTATTGGGTTCCCCTATGACATTTCATTAATGTGAAAAAGGTAATTAAGGAAAGAACAGCAGAGAAATTGGGGTGATGTGTATTGTTCTGGTGGAGTACCAACGACTGAAGTCCAAAAGCTTGGTGTTCGTTTTCATTCTCCATCGAGCCCTCTGCCCTCCATCGGTGGCGCTATCGGCCTATTCCTTCGTGACGTTCCCCTCTCCGTTTTTTCCCCACAGCCTCGTCTTCCGTCCCTGTGATTGGTTTTCTGTTTTGGTCAGGCCATGGTCCTAGCAATGTGGGCGGTGCTCCGTGTGCTATCCCGTGGAGGAGCCGCCGTCCTAAAATCAAACGCACCCGCAGCACCTCCCGGGACCCGCTTCTTGTGCACTGCTTCCAATATCTACGGCAGAGCAACACCCAGGTAAGCTAGCCCCGCGAGGGAGTCCGAGACCAGTGTCTCGAGCTCAAAGACTACAAAGCTAGCAAGAACGGTAGCCCATAAGTAGGAAGTGCTTAAGTGATGTGTACATGCCCTGTATAGAGAAACGTGTTTGTATATGTGGTTTGTGCTCTGAAAGCCATTCCAAAGAGTAAATAATCCTTCCAAGCTCTGCTTGCAGAATTTATTTCTCTGTTAAATACAGTTAGCCACTTAATCTTTACCTCCGAGTCTCAAAAGAGTTTTCTCGTCCGTATGACCTTGCAAATTAGCTGGACGTTTTCAGACTTTTATTTTGTTAAATATCTGTCCGTCTCATAATCTAAGATAACGTTTTAGCACAAGTACTGAATCAAAATTGGGTACTTCATCGTCTTTACGCCAGCAAAATGTCAAATATAGAACAAAACACACGTGCCAGTGGACAGTTGAAGATGTTTATCTCTTTTGTGTTGCTAGTTTTATGTGTTAAATAATTACACAAAAAGGTCAGAGGTCAGCTTAGAAGTAGTTTGAACCAATAAGGGAGTTCGCTTATCTGGTTTTGAGGTTACAAGTTCATTGCCATGTGGCGTTCCTCTCAGTGGAGTTCGACACCTGCAGTCCGCCGCCAGAATGCCGGAGATAACCACGGATCACCTGGACGAGAAGCAGGTGCAGCTGCTGTCCGAGATGTGCATCCTCATCGACGACAACGACCAGAAGATCGGAGCGGACACCAAAAAAAACTGCCACCTCAACTCCAACATCGACAAAGGTACGGGCCCCTGGCGGGGGAGCTGTGGACGGGCTCCGGCGGCCCCCTCTGACCCCTCTCTGTCCCCACAGGTCTATTGCACCGAGCCTTCAGCGTCTTCATCTTCAACAGCGAAGAGAAGCTGCTTCTCCAACAGAGGTCCGATGCCAAAATCACCTTCCCAGGTCAGAGGTCAAGCAGATGACTGCGAGTGGCAGCATGTCAAACAGCATTCACTGCCATTTTCTTCTTCTTGTTTTTTATCTGTTGCGCAGGTTGTTACACCAACACATGCTGCAGTCACCCTCTACACACAGACAGCGAGCTGGAGGAGAAGGAGGCCATAGGCGTGAGGAGGGCCGCTCAGAGAAGACTCAAAGCTGAACTGGGGATCCCAATGGAGCAGGTACGAAAACCCAGGGCCCCGCTGGAATGACCGGATTTGGATCAAGTTCATTCAAACATGCACACACTCCAATATGACGCAAAAAAGCTAATCTGTGTATGCGAATCGGTCTGAAGAGAGAAGGAGATCTAATGTAACTGAACATGTAATGTGGCAAATTATGTTTTTTTTTTCTTTTCATTTTTTGGTTATGTTGATCATTTGGACAGGGACATAACAATACATGTATGGTTGTAATGGGGAAACCTACAGGTTGACCAGATAAAATGTCAGGGCGAAAGAGTCAAAAGAAATAGTATGCCTCTTCTACAATAAGAAAAGGGGAAAAGATAAAGAAAATCAAATTAATTAAGAGGAGTCAGTGTTTGTGAACAAAGTATAAGAAGCAGGTGAAGGATTTCATCCTTTTTTTCCTCTTTTTTAAATTGAGAAGATCTAAAAACAAAGTGTTTCTTCTACTTTTGAGAAATCTGAAAATCACAATGAAAAAACAGTTTTAGAGATTGTTTAGTTATCAAAATTAAGTGTTTTGTGTCCATTTGCATTTTTGTTTCCGCTTTTGCTCATTTGAAAATAACAAAAGATGAAAGAACATTTCTTAAAGTGGGTATTATTTTTTCGTGATCCCACTGTGTGTGCGTCAGGTGCTCAGTGGAAGTGGAAGAGGATTATGGGGGATAGAGTTTTCTTGGCTGTGATCTGCTGTCTTCCTCTGGCCCATCAGGTGACTCCAGAGGAGATGACCTACCTGACACGAATCCACTACAAGGCCCAATCGGACGGCGTTTGGGGAGAACACGAGATCGACTACATCCTCTTCATGCAGAAGGTAGCTCCGGACTTTCTTTTTTTTTCTGTGGTTTTCATGTGGGATATGTGGCTACAACCTGCATTTTTCCTGCCTCTCTACAGGACGTGGACCTGAGTCCAGACCCCAATGAGATCAAAAGCCACTGCTACGTGAGCAAAGAGGAGCTGAAAGCCATGCTGCAGAAGGCCAAGCGCAAAGAGCTGGAGGTCACGCCCTGGTTCAGCCTCATCGCAGACACCTTCCTCTTCCAGTGGTGGGACAACCTCCACAACCTGAAGCAGTTCATGGACCACGCCCACATCCACCGCATGTAGCCGCCGTCCGCTCTCCGATCACAGAAAAAGAGGAAGGCTCTGATCGCCAGAGACCCAACGAGCACCCGCTCCTGCCTTTCGGTTTGGTTTGGAGATCAGAAAGCAGGGGGTGTCTCAGTCGTGGTGCCTGTGTGAAGTCCGGCACGTGGACAGGCTCACCCAGGATTCTGAGGGCTTTTTAGCCTTCGGATTTAGTAGATGGGGAAAAGTGTTGACAGCTCCACGGATTCACAGTGGTATTTTTGTATAAATAAATGAATAAAGTTATGTTATTTCCTCCAGTTGAGATGCTGTTTCACGTTCTGCAATGAAAGCTCGTCTTTAAATTTTTTACACAAACTGTTACACACACTTTACACAAGTATTTCCCCTCCCACAGGATTAAGAAAACTAGAAAAAATGGGAAAGAAGCACTAAAGTCAATGAGAAACTACTTTTGAAAAGTCTGTGCCTTCATGGTGGTAAAACCTTTTCTTTTTTTTTTTTAAGTAAATTAGAATTTGTAACTAAATGTTGAAATAATTATACAGATATCAAGTCAATGCTCACATTGACCAAATGAACCTGATTTGGTCTAAGAACTGACCATAAAAGTATTCCATCCATCCATCCATTATCATTGCCGCTTATTCCCTGATGGGGTCGCGGGGGGAACTGGAGCCTATCCCAGTGGTCATAAAAGTATTCATTTTATTTATTTATATATATATATATATATATATGGCTCTTTGTAACGATAAGATGCTTTTAACCATTTAATGCATATTTTTCTCTACTTTTTTACATTAAACTAAAATGATAAAAAGGAAATATTCTATAAAACAGTTCGGAGTGTATGATGATGTCTCCTAGAGTTTGTCAATCAAAAACAATACATACAGACTTTAAGGGTTCATTCTGCTGGTGTTTTTAACTTGCTCTCCACTAGGTGTCAGACAGCATTTAACACACAATCAGGTCTGATGCTCTCCTTAAAAAGAAAAAAACTTTCAATAAGTGGCGTAGAATCAGAAGTTTTATTTGCAGCCTTAATGCAGAGAGCAGTACACAGAAACTGGAATGTGTCAAACATTTAATATGAATAAAAAAAACGTTACACCGATGGAAAAACACAATAAAAACACCTGATTTAGATTTGAAAGAGCTAGTTATTTTAATACTGAATGTTTCTGTTTTACCATACAATAATTAAAAAGATTATCTGATCGACTAGTCCATGTACAGGGGAAAACACACAAACTCCACACAGAAAGACCCCCGGTCCCCCATGAATCTGAACCGGGAACCCTCTTGCTAACCACCACACCACAATGCAGCCCGATCTGTATAATACAAAGTAATACATACCTATAATCAGATGGCCTTCCAGTTATATTATTCCATTTTATGGGTTTGGCAATTGTTTTAGTTAAAATAACTGAACAATATCGGTTATAAATAAGTTTGGTTATTATATCCGTGCATAGAGAGACGTAAACAATATACCATCAATAAAAAAAATATACATTTATATATTCCATGTGCCAAAATAACTATGAAAAAGGCTATGTGGCAAAAAACAACTGTAATTCATTCTCTTAGGATGTAAAAAAAAGGACGGCCCCAGATTTCAGTGGTGACAATGCATAGGCAAACAAATCTGTGGAGCAGATTTCAGAGTCATGACAGAATTTTTGGGACACCCAGCTGGGGGAATTTACTGTATCTGAAAATCTGCCGGGCCTTGAGCTGGCACATGAACGCTAAGCTTTACACGAAGGAAGAGCTACGCAAAGAACTTGCTAGTTTGCTAACAAGAGGCTTAATAGTGTTCGTAATCAGATTCTCTAGTCAGGAAACTCCTTCAGTTTCAAACTCCTTTTATAGTTAATCGGTGGGCAAAAGGGAAGATTAGAATATTTTCTATAGAGGCTACATTTCAGTTATTATTACAATATAATGATTAAGCTTTAAAATTCTTGGCTTTTTTCCTATCAGTGATTATTAAGTGCACAAACTTTAAAAAATAACTTTTTAAACAGCTTTGCGGTGTAGATAGCTGTGACGCTGAGCAGAGTACATACGGGGGAAGAAGGTAGTGGCTTTGGTTCCTCAGGCCTTCACACGGCTCCCGCCGGGTCTGGGGCTGGGTTAGAGTTGGGCGGACTGAGCTTCATGAGGTTGAAGAAGTCCACCAGCTGGGTGGGAACCTCGGCTAACACGGTCTTTGCCAGAGCCTCACGGGGAGCCTGGGGGGGAGGCCAGACGGGCAAGACAATTACAGCCAAGACAATAAAGATAACGACAAACAAACTAGACGAAGCTGGATGTGAGACGGTCAAGCAGAGACAAACGAGAGGGTCAGGAACCACAAGCGTGAAGCCGTGCGGGTGAGGACAATTAAAGGGAAAAGGCTGGCTCCCTCTGACAGGTAGAGTTTCAGCACCTACTCATTTGGGATTCAAATCGAGCAGTCAGGCCAGCCGCTGATTGGCCAGGGAGTCACATGACTGGATGAGTCACAAGAGCGGCTCTGGCTTCAACAAACTTTCAATTGTAATGAATCATTGTTGTAAATGGCACCTACATAAGTCAACATCCAACTATACTAGAGCGAGAAAAAGCTGAGTGGACGTTTTTAGTGAATGAAAATGAAAAAACTATTACAATGATGGCTCATGCGAGGATTCTATTAGACTGTTATTTATACATGTAAAGCAAAAAAAGATAAAAAAAGAAAGGAAAATGGGTTAGGGTAGGAGGGGTTTATGACTTAGAATACTTCATGGTACCCCCTAGGAAGGATTGGGATCGTGGGGAGGCTTCAGTTTGAATAGACTGAAGAAGGAGGCCACTTGCTGAGGTAACTCGGCCAATACGCTTTGGGCTAGGGCCTGGCTGGGTGCCTGGAAAAACAAAAAGGGGATAAATAAGGCAAAAGCATGAGCCACCATTGGAGAGATGGTCTAAGCTTAAGGGGCTAGAGTCCTTGGGCTCAGGGATTAAACGTGGGCAGCGTTAGGTGGAGATGTGGGGATGCTTTGCTGTGCATGCGGATTAACCAGCGACAGGTTAGGCAGCTTTGTGGAACGCAGGGAATGTGTAAATGAATCAGCCGTTTTGACCGTTTTAAGTCCCGAGTGTTTCAGACGTCACTTACATTCTGGAACTGCCTGAAGGGCACGAACTGGACAATGTCTCGCGTGGCGGATTCGCCGCTTAGAGACCGAAGGCGGCCGTCGTCGCCGTCCAGGAACTCCATGGCGCTGAAGTCCGCCTCCCCCACGCCGACGATGATGATGGACATGGGCAGCCGGGAGGCGTTGACGATGGCGCTGCGTGTCTGGTCCATGTCGGTGATCACCCCGTCGGTGATGATCAACAGGACAAAGTATTGCTGTGGGAGGAGAGATGCTCTGAGTAGGGACGTCCCGATCCAGCTTTTTGAACTTCCGATCTGATACCGATCCTCGCCTATCAGAGCATGTATTAAAGTTATTTAGCCTACTTACTTAGTTGTCAGACTCGTGTTGAACAGGGATTTAATCTTATAACAACTTAATGGTTAGGACACAGACCTGTGGGTTAGGAGATGCTAATGCTTGTGTGGAATCGGACTTTAAAAAAAAAACTGGATCCGGAGTCTGGATCGGCATTTTCTCATGCCGGTCGATACGCATTTTTTTGCAGATATCGGCGGCCGATCCAATCCAAATATCGGATCGGGACAAGTCTACTCTGAACCGACTACAAAGAATTTCTTTTCAGGGCTTTGCAAAGCAGACGCGTCCTCACTGAAGCGGTGGTCTGCTGGAGGGCCTGTTTGGCAAAACAGGCCACGTGGTCGATGATGGGGGAGAAGTTGGTGGGGCCGTAGAGCTTGACCTGAGGCAGGCACGCCCTGTAGGCCTCCACCACACCTTCGACACCTTCACACCAAACACAGAGCAGGGGTCAAACTTTGAGGGGCGAAAACGGAGACCTGTCGCCCCCGCGTGGGGGGCGCGGCTGCTCCACCCACCTGCGCAGAACGGATTGGAGGGGTTGAAATTGAGAGCAAACTGGTGGGAAACCTGCAAGGCAGAAACATGAGCGTCAGACGGGTTCTGCCTCGAGGCGCTCCGATCAGATAAGGCGGCGCGGCCTCGAGCGCCGGTGGCCATTAGTGGTGTCGCGTTTCAAATCTGAACTTCACCTGCCACGTGGGTGGAATCTGGGCTCCAAAGCCAAAGGCGGGAAACATCTTGTCACTACACAAAAGACGAGAAACGCAAGTTAGGTTTACCGTTAAGACATCTTTCTTTTTCTTTTTTTAAAGAGAAGAAATTCCCACCTGTCATAGTCCTGGATGACATTGCCCACAGACCAGATGGCAGAGAGGTACTCATTCACCCCCTGAGGACTGATGTAGTGCAGGGACTGAGGGGACTTGGGGTCCCCGTTGGAGCCTGTGAAGTCGATGGCCACCTGCGGGGGGACACGCGTTTTAAGGACTGACCGACAAGGAGTGACTGACCATCTGCAGAAGAGCTGGAGCTCACGGTGAAGTTGATCTGGCAGCCTCCCATTATGTAATCCAGGAAGGTGTACTCCTTCACTACCTTTAAAAGAGGGCATTTTGTTAATCCGCCACCTTCTGAGGTCAAATTCACACAGGGGGAATAAAAACAAGAAGAAAAAGAAAAAAAAAAGGTCCACACCTGGCACAGCTTCACACACACAACACCGGAATTCTTGTAGCCTTTCTTCTTCTGTTTCTTTTTACTGTTGATGCATTCGAACTCCGCCTGCGGAATACAAAAAAAAGTCAGAAATCGAGGAGGAAAGAATGGATATCCTACCAGGTAAAGGTAAAAATAAAACCCGAAAGTATTGCAACAACATCAAGGCAGCACAAAGCGGCCGGCTGGCCTTTCAGTGACCGGCGGTCATACCGGAGAGGTCCGAGACGCGTCCTGCAGCCGCTTCATCGTGGTCTCGAAGGTTCCGATGAGATCGTGGGAGCCGTCGTCGTCATAGTCGTAGCACTCCACCTGAAAGCGATCAACAGTGTCAGGCAGCGGCTCAGCTGGGATAGAACAAAAAAATCTAATCAAATTCAAAATAAAAAAAAACACCAAATGTGTCACTTCACTCAAACTACAAACAAAAAGGTGAGGAAGAAAGAAACTGGAAAAGTTTCGGAATGAGATTGTCCAAAACTACAGGCAGAACCCAGGAAGATAACCACAAATCTGGGCTCAGCTTTGAGCACTACTTAGTTCCCCTGGTTGGTCAATTTTTGTGGTTTAAATTAAGTGCCTGTCTGGACGCGAACAGATGAAACAAACATGCAAACGTGTTAAAACAGAACATCCAAAGAACTTCAGACAGTTTCAAACAAAGCTTTCTATGAAAAGATTAGTGTGGATGGAGGAAACTTTGGAGGAACTCCCGAACACAGCGTGCCATATCTGCTCCATTCACACAGCCATCAGCCAGTCAGTGATGGTAGGATGAAAAGAGGACAGAACACTGTGTCATGGGGGGGGGAACTCACATGTCCTGCATGCTGGGAAAGTGCTTCCTTCCTGTCATGTTGGCTTTAGAGGTTAAAGAAATATAAATCGTCACCCTACAGCTAAAAACACTCATGTGGTCACATGTTTAGTCCCTGAGAGCAAAAATGGGCTTTCCTTCCCTTTATTGTCATTAAAGATTTGCTTTGGAGAAAAACTTGAGCAGCTGAAAACATTTTTTAAATGTAAAAAAAGCTAAACTGATGTGACAGAGGTTTACTTTTATGGACTTCTCCATGTCGCCTCCGCACAGCGACTGCAGGGGGATTCGAAAGGGTCTCCAGGTTGGATTCAGGTTGTTCTTCACCACCTGAGGACACAGAGGATGGAAATCCATTAAGAGAATAATGTTCACTTCCAGGAGATGCAGGGCAACCCACGCTGTAAACAACAAACCAGCTGAACTGCCACCACACTGAAAGGTATCATGTGTTGGGTACTCATTGTGTCTTCTCTGAAAAGCAAAAAAAGTTTGCATCTTGAACTTAGAAGAAACGTGGCAGGTTGTTACATGTTGGGGGGACGTATCACCATAGATGTTATGGATTTTTGTTTTATAACTGTGTTGTGTTCGAACAAGAAAGCAGCCTAAAAAAAAGATCTGAGATCCCATCTCTGGTCTTTTTTTATCTGATATTAGATGAGATTATATGTGAGACTAAATTCACCTGGATAAACTCTGGAGTCGTAATTTAGAATATAATAAACCACTAACATCACATCACGCTATATGGAAATATGAATTTCAAATTAAGAAGTTATAAACTTAATTGCCAACGAGTCACACTGATTAAATCTATGCTAAAGCAGTAATACAATACAGTATATACAGCTGAGTCACAGCCACACATGCGATGATATCTCAAAACTGAATCGCAGGTTACTGGAAACTTCCTGAAACCAAATGGGCCTCAGTTGTTCTGGCCCTTTAATGAAACCATCAGAACCTGGTTCAGCGTTAAAGGGAGGCTGGAGTGATTAGAGACGAGCTGGTCATAACACGCCAACTAAGAAGATAGTTTTGTTGTTCTCACTTTCGCAAAGACAGGCGTGAGAACCGACAAAAAAAGAAGTCTAAAGCTTAAAAGGAGAAGTGAAAAAAGATCTTTAAAAAAAAATAAAAAAATCTGTAAATCAGAGGTCATGACGTCACAACTTCATTATCCGATTTACATCAGGGGTCCAATCGAGAAGCTTTTCACACCAACATGGGAATAAATGAGTTCAAGATGATCCAAGAAAAAGCTGCAAAGGGACACTGACTAATTTGGCAGCCGAACAGTTAAGCGAGGGCAGCTGAAGTTTTTAACAATATTCTGCTGATTAAGCTATGCCCCTGCTCACCTCCGTCCTGTGAGCCAGCTGCCAGGCGCCACCATCTGCCAGCTTGTAGAATTCCAAATATGGGTCCGACTTCCCAAAGAAATCCTGCGAGTGAAAATCGATAAAGATATCGATAACTTACAACAAATTGCAAAAATTAAAAGGCTTCAAACGAGAACCTCCTTTACCTTGTTGTCCAGCTTCCTTGCCTCCACCTCAAAATTCACAACCCTGTTGTCTTTTATTTCCTCTGCAGATATCTGCAACACAAAGGGGGGGGGGGGGGCAATTGATTACAGAGACGGCTAAACGAGTGCATTGCAGCTTCCCAGGCTCCCTCTGTTACGCACAGTGATCGTCCCCTTTCCTGCCGGCGTCTTGTTCTTCAGCACAAGCGGCCTAGTCAGCTTCTTGCTGGACACAACCTAAATGAAAGGTTTGAGAAAAAGAGTGAGCATGCTGATAAAGACAAGCACTTTCAGGAGAAAAGAAAAAGGTAACTGAACAGAATCCACAGACTGAGTCAACATGGAGGAGTAAACACATGTGCGGTGACATTATACAGTCTTATCAATCAGTGTTTACCACAGATGTGAAACACTATGAAACGAAAGAGGAATATTTTGAACGACACCATATTGAAAAAAATGTAAAAACACTTCCAGTTCCTTACAGACCCTTCCCTATAACCCGAAAGAGGCAAACCTTTACCTGACCCAGGGTGCACTCCAGTTCCCCCAGGAAGTCGTCGTCACTCAGGTCAACGGTCTTGTTGTCGATGTCATAGATGCCAAACTTCAACTTCTGAACTATTTCAAAGTAGTAGTCGATGACAAACTTTTTGGCAAACTTGGGGCAGAGGCAGTTCTGGACTTTCTCTGTTCGACCGACCTGTTGGGAAAGATCGGATGCAGTGGCTCTTAAGTAACTGACCAAAGGCAACGGGTATTAGTGCATGGCAGCCGTGAAACAGGAAGTGGAAATTGTATCATCTGGAAGGGGGTTTAAAACCATTAACACTGCAGTTTTGTCTTGCATTAGATACAGTAACGTAAATGAACACAACCAACATATACGTCTTGCCTTTCCTGCTACTTAGAGGTTAGAAACGTGCTTCACAAAACAAGGTAATTCATTGGAAGCACTTGATAGGTACTCCCAGCTGCCTTTAGATTCATGTCTGCTCATCTTACCAACCTCATACCACTTGGAGTCTGAGCTGCTCATCAAAAGGACACACAGGGGGTCAGACTTGGAGCCGATGTCTTTGTCCAGCAGGTTCTCACAGGACACGGTGAGCTCCACCTTGGTCACACACTGGGCAGCCATGACTGACTGGGGACAAGATGTGAACAAAACACACACAAACACGCATACACAATTACTGTGAGCCAATACGCGGACCAACCCCTCCAAAATGTCTAAAGTGGCATGTTGTGCAATATACAGGGAGGTACGGTTAGGTTCTGCCCGTTTACGTATTTTTTCTGTACATCTGTAAACTGCGTCAGTTTGAACGTAGAGCCAAATATGGTGGAAAATTTGATTAACTTTTTTTTTTTTTTTTTTTTTTTTAAACAGGATAGGATTTTTTTTCCCTTTGAGATTATAGCTTCAAAATGTTGTCTCAGTACTTAATATTAATTAACGAGACTAACACCGAGTGTGCAGAATGTCGGCACCAAGCTAACGTTACCTTTTCGATCTAGTATTCGCGTAGCTTTCAGGTCCAGTTTTGCTCGGTTGTAGTTAACTGTAGTAGCCCTAAGTTGGCTTAGAGAGGCACAGCAATATAGTAGTACTTTGTCTAAGCGTGTGGTACAAGCACATGGAAAATATGACACAATAATTAACAGCAGAAATCCTCTCGTGGGCGTGGAGCATGCTACGTTAATAGGTAGTTTGTGAGAAAAAGGCTATAGCTAACGTCACGCTAACAGGCTAACGGGGCGACAAATTGACAACTTATCTGGTCTATCCGAAAATTAAGTCAAATTAATATTTTAGACTTACCGTCGAAAGTGTCAGACAAGTCTCGGGTAACTCAGGTGGAGAAAAAACGATTCACTTTGATTCCGCGTTGTACTTTAGCTCGGTGTTGTGATACTGAGGTAAAAAAAAAAAAAAAAAAAGTTGTAAAAATATGTAGTTTTTCCTTCGCCGAGCAAAAGCTACGCCCACAGAGCACCTAACCTAGGTTTAGCTACCCCCGGTCGAGAAGAACGTCGTCGGCGTTTCCTGAAAAGTAGAGAGGACAGAAGAAGGTGGAGACCAAAATGTTGTCATGGCAAATAGATATCCGCAAGCTTAGGACTGTGCCCAGACACACAGAAAGACATCTTAAGCCAAAGCTTAGCACTAAGCAAACACTGCAAATGACGATAAGGAGGCAACTAGCAGGGGCACTTTCGACCCAAGTGTTTTATCCGCAGTGCTCAAATTTGAAGAGAACGAATTAAAAATATATTTAAATTAATAACACAGTGGAGGAGGTCATCTTCTTCTAAGTGGTGTCAAAAACTTGCATATAACAAGCCACACTCAGTTTTGTTTACCGTTTGAAGTAGCAGGGAACGATAGCCAGCGAATTTGGCAGCCAGTATGTTAAAAAAAATCAGATAACAGGATTCCCCAGTGTTGACGTCAACGTTTTTATTATTTAAAACTATTAATTATTATGAGAGATCACTATGAGTTAATAAGGACTGGGAAATAATATAAGTAAAGCCTAAATGCCTACAGCACCACCTGAAAACTTCCCCTGGGCCCCAGAAATACCTCTATCTACCTTTTTTGTGCTCCAGAACATTCTGTGTAATTTTCTTTGTCAAAACTTGCTCTCATGAAACCATTGACCCTTTATTTGTGCAGCTGAGTCTGATTCCGTTTCAAATTCTGATTCAAATGCTAGATTTGGGGAGTATTCACTGGATGTCAGCTTTTTTTTTTTTTGTTGCAATCGTTTTACTTCTGGGTTTTTTCGCTGCCTTTCCCCACAAACTCTTATAAATGGATGTAGATTAACCTAGAGTATATTGCTGTACAGATACTTTGTGAAGTGTTCTACAGTATATCCAAAATACCAAATAAAAGTTTTTATAGGAAAGTGTAACGGAACATTCCCCCAGAGTACAGTCACACTCTTAATTGGAAGTTGCATGTTTTCTTCAGCCTGTTCTTCATTTATTGTTTATCCTGTTTTCTGAGATTATCATTCTTAAATTCTTTGATATAGGCAAGGTACTAATAACCACTTTTCTGCCATGTGGAGGAAGAGTAAAGGATTTCTCATCTACAGCAATAGTTATTGGTATTGGCCTCTAACTGCCTTTAACTTTAATTTGTTTGTCCAAATTTACATTGATACAAGCTTTGGTATCCATCAAAGCTTGTAGCAATGTATGGGCTATCAAGCTATCGCGATGTGTCAGTCTCTGTCAATCAGTATTTATGCAACCAAGTCACACGGATAACTTCTGACGGCATTTGTTAAAGGTCACTCTTAATGAGGTGGACTTTGAAAGCAAGAAGCTAAATAACCAAGCAGACAGCCGTCCAACTCGACACACATTCATTCGAAAAGTTAACCAGTATAAAGAAGTCCCATCACCATACACTTGTAAACGTACACATGTACGCGCAAAGAAATGTACACCTCCTGACTCTCCTGATTATGTAGATAAACACAAGATAGGAAAACACAATGGCTCGTTAGAATAGACAGTGTTCCAATCCATAGAAACCAAGCACTCCTGTCCAAACACTGGCTTCTGTCAACAATGTGTCAAATAAAAACCCATGAAATAGGTTCCGCTTTGTCTTGGTATCCTTTGGGGTTTCCCTTTGTTAGAATTTGTCCTTTTGAATATCCAACTAAAAGTTTAGCCTCTAAATAAAGAAAATGCAGAAGAGCTTCAAACATACGGAACAAAAAAACTGATTAAATGCCTGATGTGTATGTGGATGATTAGGTGAGTGTCTATGCACTCAACTCGGTTTTACGTTCAATATTACACAATGCTTTTTGATATTTGAAACATCTAGAAATCTGTCTAGTGTATTTTACTACAAGTCAGTAGGGGCTGTAAATAAGCTGGTTCCCATTAGCAGGTTAACATTAATTAAACGATTTGTATGATGATTTTAACTTTTTGTCTTGTCTGACCATATTTAGTAACCCTGCTCTAAACAGATGAATGGACACGTAAATGACAAGACTGCCTGCAAGTCCCTGTTATTCCTCCATCATCTGAGAGGAAAACTGTCTCTATGTTAACAAGAAGGGATGGAATCAGACAGAAATTAACCACCGACAATGTCAAGTACTTCCTGCTTTTTATTAGGTTGCTTTTCCAAATCCATTACGGTTGAGGTTTATACTTTCTGATTCCTGGGTGTATGAGGTAATAAACTGACAGGGATACATCAGTTAAAGAAACTGACTGAGATCCAATGGTTCGAGTCGGAAAATGTGTTGTTGTGGTAGTAACAAAGACCCCTGGGGACCCTTCTGCATTGTGCATACCAGCCAAGCACTGGGTTGGATGACATGGTCAAATGTCCAAATCCACATCCACTTAGCTGAGTCTTCTCGTTTACTTTTTTTTTCCATTATCGTCTCACACAGAAGTTAGAATATGTGTCAGTATATTTCTACTGAACATATTATATATTAGCTTAGGGAAATATGTAAAAAAATAGAAAGAAAAAAGACAAATCTCATATTAGTCTGCTATTAGTGTTTACTTTCATATTTCTTTTTTTAATTGATCAACAGATTTTAGAACAAGTCTAATATCTGGTCTGGGCATGTACAAATTGTACAAATACACACTAAAATGAAAAGTAAATACAAATGCCCTTCTGAGTAAAAGTTCTCAAACTTTACATGATTAAAATAATTCTGGGTTATGAGGCAGGTGATATTTTGTCCTCGTATAACATGAGTTAAGCATAAAAAAGGACAATCATTAGGAAAGTGCCAAAGACTTAAGTGTAAAGAATAATTAATATTACACATATACTAACACATGTTTAATACATTTCATTTAGACTTTTTTGAGATGCTGTATAAAAATTTTATGATAGAAAATCTAGACCTGATAACTTATACTTTGATAGCGATTATTTTCATTAAAAACATACACAGAAGCACCTAGCAGCCAGTAAAACAAATAAAATGCATGATTTATAAGACAAAGTGAGCAACTCTAACAACAACAAAAAAACATTTTTTTAAATTCAAATATATTTTAAAAAACAGTACTTGAAACATATGACTGTTTGGATTGATCCTGTAAACATTAAAGAGGCATTTTGAAAGTTTTTCCCCGGAAACAAGCTCAGCTCAGAGGTTTTAATTGAATATCTTAGATTTTTTCGTGCCTACATGAGTTGTCGAGGGTGATGAAGGATGAAATGGCAGTTGTACTGGACAGGGGGATAGGAAAGGAGATATTCAGGAAATAATGAATAAGTGAGCACTGCTGTCCTTTCCTGTAGACGGATTACGGTTACATTTTAAAACATTAGGGGACACCCTAAGATGGTGACTTTGTTCTTAGGATTTTACACTTTGACTTGTCTATCTGTCTTTTGACATGTCTATCATACTAAGTCCCACATGCCAAAAGTTCAGAGGTAAAGTGGGCTGAAGCCTGGCCTCTTATATATCTCATTTTTATCTATTTGTTTATTTTTATTATATACTTATCATTTTTATAGACTAATTTATCTGGCAATTTGATTGACATTTCAAACTGTTGCTTTTGATTGGTCTTACTGTCCAAGATTTTTAACTTCATGGGGATCCTCCATCCTGGGGGTTCTTTCTGCGCCGTCTGCAGGGTCGTTGTCATGGTGATCATCCTCATCTCGGTAACCTGGGGTCCATCAGTGCAATGTGGCTGGAGTGTGGACCCTGGCCTGCCCTGATGGGGCTGGTTTCCAGTGGCGACGGCTTCTGTGGTTAAGGGTGTTGGATCCTGGCATCCCCAGGATACTGTTTCCTCTCTCTAGTGTCAAACTGGTTTTAAAAAGGTGGTAACTTGAGTTTAGATGGGATGGTAGGGTGGCAGTGGGATGGGGGGGGGCATATTGTGTGTGTGTATACATGAGAGGAGGTTATGATTGGTTATGATTTCAAATGTGTTTCCATGTAAAGCACCTTGTGTTACTTTCTGTACGAAAGGTGCTTTGTAAATAAAGTGAATTGAATTGAAATGGAGGACAAAGTCTGGGTTTCCAGAACGTGTCACGGGGGGGGAGCTGAAGCTGAAGCAGGAGGGTCAGCGGGGGCGGGCAGGCTGTGAGCAGGCTTCAGACCCATGACGTTGAAGAAGCCCGTAAGTTGCTCTGGGACCTCTGCCAACACACTCTGAGCCAGCATCTCCTGAGGACTCTAAAGAAGAGGAGGCAGAGAAAGACAATGATATCACAAATACAGAAGAGAAGCTTAAAAACAAATGAGGGAGAGCTGTTTAAATACAGCCAGCCTTTCCTCTGTGACATTGATATGGAGGCCAAAGCTGAAAGCTGGAGGACCATGTCGTTATGTAGACTATGGCCAAACCCTGACTTCCTTAGTGGGCTAAGAGTGCTTTTATCATGCTACTGTGCATCCAGTGCATTGAAAAAAAAAGGAAAAGGGGTGGATGAGGTAGGTGGGCGGGGTGCTCATACATGTCTAGGAAGGACAGGGGTCACTGGGGGGCTTCAGGTCAAATAAATTGAAGAAGGAGGCCACTTGGTCAGGCAATTCTGCCAGAACGCTTTGTGCTAGGGCCACAGTGCCTGCCTGAAACAAGACGTGTGACATTTGAAAGTCAGTTAGGAGCCGGCCTGCAGAGAGCTGCTTAAACTCGGGGGTGGGGGGGGGGGGCGGGGGCACGTACATTCTGGAACTGCCTGAACGGGACGAACTGCACGATGTCCCTCATGGCGGCCTCGCCCGTCGCCGAGCGCAGGTTCCCGTCGTCGCCGTCCAGGAACTCCATGGCGCTGAAGTCCGCCCCCCCCACGCCGACGATGATGATGGACATGGGCAGCCGGGAGGCGTGGACGATGGCGGTGCGCGTCTGGTCCATGTCGGTGATCACCCCGTCGGTGATGATCAGCAGGACAAAGTATTGCTGGGAAAAAAAAGAGACTGTTACCAAAAATCCAAACTTAAAAGATAAGATTTACTCAAGATTTGTGAAAAAAAATCTCTTTCAGGTCTAAGCTTCTACTACTACTAATTGTATCAATGTAAATTTCGACAAACAAATTTAAGTGAAAGGCAGTTAGAGGCCAATTCCAATAACTATTGCTGTAGATGAGAAATCTTTTACTTTTCCTCCACATGCCAGAAAAGTGGTTATTAGTACCTCGCCTATATCAAAGAGTTTAAGAATGATAATCTCAGAAAACAGAATAAACCACAAATGAAGAAACTACTACTAAAATCAGACCAACAGATCAAATAATGTCTCAGAACTTTCACATTCATTTTCACTCATTTAGAGAGAAGAGAACATGGTCCTGTTTCCAGTAAACAGAAGGAAAAAAGGGTGAGCAATTGTAAGAGAAAAACATATAGATGCAGCCAATTTTCAAATGAAGCTGCTCACACTGTTTATTTTCAGTTTCTTTGGTCAGATGAAAAATCACAAGAAGCTGTGACTGGAAATCTATCCATGAAGATGGCCTGTCCACTTGGAGTAGGGGAAGTTTCAGGATTTAGCTCTGCTCTAATAAAATCTTTTTGCCCAGTAGTTTTATGGTTTGTTCAGATGTGGTTTGAAAACAATTTTTCGCTCTGTTGTTGAAAACAGAAGCCAGTTCTTCTTAGAGGGAGGAAACTTTTTCCTGCAACCCAACGTTTGACACCACAACAAATGCCAGTAGAGTCACTTACACAATACATTAAATCAATGAGCTTAAAAAAAACACACTTTCTTTTTCATTCTTTTTCTTCTGGCTACTCACAGAGGCAGTTTGCTGCTGCAAGGCCTGTCTGCCAAAATGGGCGACGTGGTTGATGATCGGGGAAAAGTTTGTTGGCCCATAAAGCTTCACCTGAGGCAGACACTGCTGGTAGGCAAGAGCCACACCCTCTATGCCTATGAAACATGGGAAAAAAAAGAAATATGCATCTGGAAATGGGAAACGAGCCATGAAACTAAGTTTCACAGCGATATAAATTCTACTGTTTGTCAAATAAAGTGCAGTATTTGCTTCAGACTGACCTGCACAAAATGGATTAGATGGGTTGAAATTGATGGGAAACTCGTGGCTGACCTACAAACAAAAGCAATCATTAACCTGAAGTTCTATCTTCCTTCTCAACAGGAGCTACGGGGATGCAGGACAACCTTTTCCGAGCCGTAGAAAAAGGATTTACACCAATATCAAACCCTCACCTGCCACGTGGGAGGGATCTTAGCTCCGAAACCAAAGGCAGGGAACATCTTGTCACGGTGGGGGGGGGGGGGGGGAGTGAAACGCAGCAGGAGTTACAGCTCAGCAGAGTTTTTCAGACGAGAAATAAATAACAGAATCATGATTTAGAGTTAAGGCTTTTTCTTAATCAGACTGCAGTAGCTTTGGAGTTGGAACTCAGTCCATTATGGATTGAGTTTTGCAATCCAGCTGGAGTCTATCCCAGCTGACTGAGCAAAAGGCGGGGTACACCCCGGAGAGTCCACCCAGAAACAAATCACACACTCACATTCACTCTTAGGGGTAATCTGGTGTTCAATTTACCTAACGTGTATGTTTTTGGACAATGGGAAAAAGCACCTCTCTAAGTGTAATTAAAATTATATTTCCATTAGAGGGTAGCACAGGTTGTGTTTAAAAGGACTGTCCAAAATCTTCTTACAGGGCCTGATTTTTGTAGGTGCTGGCATCTAAGAAGGAACAAATAACTTTGGACCTTATCATTTCCAATACAAATAGACAGATAAATTAAACTAATCAAATATAACTAGATAAATTAGAGGACAACTAAGGTTTAGCAATAAACTAAACACAGAGAGGGAAAGGAAAGGAGAGGATATTAATAAGGTAAACAGTAACAAAACAAAAACATCAGCATTTTACAATATAAGTGGACTTTTCTCAACCAGTGATGTGACTTCTGAAATGAAGCAGCAGCGCTCATTACCCTGAGATGTTGTCATTTTGCTTTGAAATAAAAGATAATACAAATAAGTCCACACATTTTTTACAATATTTTCATATTTTAAATTTGCTTGAGTAATTCTGAGTGTTCTGCATTGGTCCGTTACAAGAAAATCCAAAACACAGTGCATTTAAATTAAAGGTAGGGAAATGGGAAATGGGAAAAATACCCAGGTAGGAGAACGCTTTAATTTTCTTTGGTAATAGCACTGAATGTCTATCACCATATTTACCTGTCGTAGTCCTGGATGACATTACCCACAGCCCAGATAGCTGAGAGGTACTCATTGTATCCGTGAGGGCTGATGTAGTGGAGGGACCTGGGTGTCTGGGGATCTCCATTGGAACCTGTGAAATCAATAGCAATCTGGCCCCGACACGGGCCAACAAACCTTTAACACTGTACTAGGAATTATTCACTAATGACTACATACTTTCCATGTGGATTTGTAGTAAATATAATGACTGTATGCTGAACTCACTGTGAAGTTAATCTGGCAACCGCCCATTATGTAATCCAGAAAAGTGTACTCCTTCACTATCTGAAAGTAAACGTACAGAAAAAAAAGTGGTTTTGTTTAATTTAAGCTAAAACAGGTAACGTTATTCAGAAAAATAAATTATAAAAGCTCTTTGCAAGACAAAAAAAGTTAACTTTTCAAAGAGTCTGATTTAAACTTTATTTTAAATAACATGTCTTCTGATTAATCTCAATATATGTCTGAAGTCTATCTCATTTTATGAATGATTAAAAAAAAACAGCAAACAAAGCAAAAGCATCCTTTTCATCTTTTACCTTGCATTGTTTGATGACGATGATTCCTGAGTTTTTGTATCCTTTCTTCTTCTGCTTCTTCTTGCTGTTCATGCATTCGAATTCCGCCTGGGAAGGTGGGAGACACACCAGATCGAATCGCCATTTTTGGACGAGAAGAGCGGGTTTTATACGGAGGACTCACTTGGGAAGTTTGCGTGGCCTGCTGGATCTGGCAGAGCGTGGTGTGAAAGGATCCGATAAAGTCGTGGGAGCCGCTGTTGTTGTAGTCGAAGCACTCCACCTGCACAGAGAGAAACATGAACCGATTTTCAAATGCGTTCGGAAGTCTGGAGAGATAGGGAGAGAGAGAGAGATGGAGAGAGAGAGAAAAGCTTCCTTGTCTCTGAAACATCTATCATTAAAAAAAAAGAACGCACACTCACTCATACACAGACTAAACGTTTGTGTAGTTGTCAGAGAATCAGCGGAAGATGGCATGGAGCTACAGCTACAGGTGATCACTCTAAATGGGAAACATCTACCTATGTGGAGATCGGCCCGATGGTTCGCTTACTTGTTTCACAAAATCAAAGATCCGTTTGGTATCTTGAAATATCAGTTTGCTGAATATCAGCAGACAGAAAACTTTGACACAAAGAGAAGCTTTTTTATGGTTACAAAAAAATCTAACTCAATAGGTGATGCTGCAAAATGTAATGCATGCATGAGGAGTGGTGGTGTAGTGGTTAGCATAGCTGCCTTCCAAGCAGTTGACCTGGGTTCGATTCCCGGCCAAAAACAGCTCCTCCCCATCCTGTAAGTCGCTTTGGATAAAAGCGTCTGCCAAATGCATGAACATGAACATGAACATTCCACCAAATCTGTAGCCATAAAGCCTAAAAAAAGTTTTTAAAAAATCAAAACAATACCTTTGTTGCATTTAGTAAGAATAGACTTCTTTTAATTATTAACCCTTAGGAGTCTGGAATATGAATGGCTCTTACTGCTAGATCTGCTTATATTCTTCTTAAAAAGTAATACGTTTTTGGGTTGCTTATCAAAAAGGGCTGAATAACCTCAACTATCACGCTGAAATTATTAAAGATTTATGCAATTAAAAATTAAATGAAGTATTAAATTTCAGTTCAATTGTATTCCTAAAGAACAAAATCAACAATAAATTGTCATCTGTGGACACGACCAATGACCCGGGGCCAGAAAAGGTTTGGCAAAGCATATTGCATACATGGGAGTAGTGTTTTCCACGAGAACTAAAGTCTGTAAATGAATGAAAACTAATATTTGATGCACGATTCCATTGCTGAGAAAAAACAAATAAATAAAAAGTGTGATGTCCGTGCGGACTCCTAAGGGTTAAATAGGTTAAAAAAAAAAGGTAAAGAGGATCAGTCGGTAAATATTAGGATATTATATTATAGGTAGGGTCACCAAAGGGCCGATCTCCTCAGAATTGAGGGTATCCATTCCTTTGAAAGACAGATGTTTGGATGCATCCAGGACACCGCATCTCTCACATGAAGAACACTCACTCTGTTAACGGTTAACTCACTTGTGCTGCTGCCTTCACAGCATCTGTTCCTGATAAGTTTGCTTTCATTAGAGGGTGGAAACAAAAAAAACAAAAATAAACATAAACTAACATGTTAATTTATTAGTAGCAAGGCGATAAGAAGTGATGGCACACACACAGCTCCAGATGTGGCTAAAACTCATATCCACCATGACTTACACAAACAGAGAAAAACTGCATTTGTCATAAAAGTTTTTTTTCCCTTTGGTTTAGTTGGTGTTTTTACTTTTGTTACGATGCGTGTACCTTTACAGACTTTTCCACGTCACCTCCACAGAGTGCCTGCATGGGGATTCGGAATGGCTTCCATATCGGGTTGAGGTTGTTTTTCACCACCTGCAAGCCAAAACCTCGTGAACCCCTTTAGTGTTTCGGTGCTGCGCGAATACAAACTTTAGAGACATTTCAGACGCAATTTGACAAGCCTACGCAGAGACTGATGGGAGCAGCACCTCTGTCCTGTGAGCCAGCTGCCATCCAGTGTCTGTCTGCCTGTAAAACTCCAGGAAAGGGTCGGACTTGCCGAAAAAATCCTGCGAATATAGAAAGACGATGCTGAAGTAAACATGCACAACATTCTGAAAAAAATAAAATAAAATAAAAAGTTTTGTAGTTGGAAAAGGTAAATTATTAAGAGGTACAGTACCAATGTTATGGCTTTGTGTTAGATTATAGACCTTGATAAAAAATACATCATGAATGATTTGATATGTGTAAACAAAAGTATATATAAATAAATACGATATATATATATATATATATATATATATATATATATGATTGTTATGTATTACAGGGCCTGAAAGTCAAAATGGCATTTTATTAAATTTAATTAAAGATTAAATATTTTTTAATATTTTATCAAATATTTTATTATTAAATTATCTTTTTTTATCAAATACATTTATTAAATTGATATAATAGATATTCATATCTAAATGTATTAATTTTACTAAATAAGTACTCTTTTACATCCTGAAAAAATGGTTATTCCATAGTCTTTAGTCAGTTCATAACTCTTTATAACTCTTTATTTATATTTCTCTTAAATGAAATGTTTCAGGTGTTTTTGAATGTATAAATCATCTACACCTCAGTCCCATCCTGCTTAAAAATCTCGATGACAATTCCCCCACTCCAAAAACAACCTCCAAATGTTTGCTGACAACAGCTTTTTCCCTGTTGCCATTAGACTGCTAAATTATTGAATCCTGTTCTTGTCTTAAGCTGTATGCAATGAAATTTTGTTTAGTGTGCACTCCGTACACACAAAATGACAGTAAAGTTGTCTATGTCTATGTCTTTTGAAATCTCATTTCATTGGAAAGACTACAGCTTAATATAACATGATCTTTGTCTGAGTAACATCACCAAGTACCTTTTTGTCCAGTTTTCTTGCAGAAACATCAAATGTTACAACTCTGTTGTCTGTCCTCTCTTCTGCACTTATCTAGAGAGAGTTGGTTTCTTTAGAAAATGTCAACACGGTTACAAACAGCATTCCCTTTTGAAAGAAGGTAACTCACAGTGATGGTTCCTCTCCCCGCAGGCCTCTGGTCTTTCATAACAAGTGGCTTGGTCAGTTTACTTGAGGAGACAATCTTTAGAAAAATACATCATCGGAAAGCATTTATACAGACCTGTTAATGACATATTACTGGAAAGAAGTCTTAGATCTTCTGGAAATTATTTACATCATTCCACATTTTGTTCTGTTAGTTATTCCAAAATGGCGTAAGTTAATTTTTTCCTTCTAAAAATGTCAAAGTCTAATTCCTCTTTATAGGTTAGATCATTTCCAGATCATTACAGAGATGCCCAATTGGATACAAATACAAGCTTTGTATCATTATACCCAAACGTAATATTCCTCATGGTTTGAGAGTCCTTCGGGTGCTTTTTGGGAAACTCCACTCCAATCCCCATTGGCTTGTGTTCTAATGTGCACTGTCAACTATTGTACCATATACAGACATCTAAGTTTTCTGGGGAAAATCTATTAAATCCATTTAAAAAATGAAAGTGTTTTGCATAACAAAATACAAAAACACTGAAATAATAGCAGTACTTTCCAGGTGCTCTGCAAGTACTGTGTATGAGATGATAAATGTCCTTTAGTGGAGAGCAAAAGAAGGCTAACCTGTCCAAGGGTGCACTCCAGTTGTCCAAGGAAGTCCGCCTCTTCCAGGCTACAGTTTTCAGAGTCGATATCGTACACCTCAAACCTCAGCTTCTGCACCATCTCAAAGTAGTAGTCCAGGATAAGGCTCTTGGAAAATGTAGGATTGAGGCAGTTCTGGATTTTCTCCGTTCGGCCGATCTAGAGCAAATACAACTTTCAAAGCGAGCCATTTTCACTAAAAAACAATTCCACACAGCACTCGAAGTTGCCGGAGCCTCACTCACCTCACACCAGTGCTGCCCTGTGGGATTCATGAGGAGCACACATAGAGGGTCAGACTTTGAGAATGTGTCCATGTCCAGCAGATTCTCACACGAGATGCTCAGGGCCACCTTGGTCACACAGTCTGTGGCCCCAGGCCCCTGGGCTCTGGACGCTGCCATCGCAATTTGAGGGGTAACACTGCATATCCAAGAGAAACATAGAGAAAACGGGGGATATTCCATTAACCTCCTGAGACCCGAGCTTTTATTTGGTGTGCATTTTTGCCTTTTTCAACAAATCTGGGATTAGTAGGACCTAATAAGTTTAATAACTAGACTTTGTCCTAGTACAGGTAGTTTTTCTTCATATAGGCTCAATCAGTTTATCTTTATATTTAAAATGTGTGTTTATATTTTCAATTACATGCTCTCTGTGGAATTTGCTCCACTTGAGATTGAGACTTGAGAATTGAGAATGACAAAATTGTAATTACACAATAAGAACATGATTGGTTGAAAATGTACTAAAACCATTTTACTTTAGATTGCAAATAGTAATGTCTGATAGCATCTACTATGAGGCCAAGAAGTCAAAGTCCAAACAAAATAAGAAGTATCATGGTAAGTAAAAATGCAATGTCCTCATACGAGGACGCAGGCTCTCAGGAGGTGAGACAGGTAAAGTTTTGACTTAGTAATTGGATGGAAAAAAGTTTTTTTTTTTTAAATAAGCATGCAATATTGAGAATAAAGATTATTTCCTAACCCTGGCCACTTGTGAGCAGCCAAAGGATGTGAAAGAGCATTTCTAAATGGATGCAGCTGCTGGCTTCCATCCATGCTGCTCAGCAGCTTTGTATCTCAGGAATGGCACAGGGTTATTAATGTTAATGAGGTGTAATTTACGGTACATTATTTTGTTTTTTAAAAAGCTACAGGTATTTATTTCTTATATTATATGTTAGTTATGGTTGTTATTCATTCTAACTAAATTAATTTTAAACAAAAATCGTTAGTTTTTTTATTTGTCTGCCTGGTTTAGGTTGTGTTTTCAATTTCTCTCATTTAACGCAGTCAAATTTATTTGAAATGGTTTTATCCCGTCCGGGAGTTTAAAGACGAGCCTATTCCTTCATAAAAACCACCAAGTAGGCCCGTCATAGCTATAAAAAAATGTTAACAAATTTAAAAATCGGCGTTGCGGAATTAGCTCCGTCGTCTAGTGACAAACCATTAGCGTAACGTTCCTCACGTTAAAACGTTCCTCTCTACGGTGGCCGTCAATAACCGAAAAACTAACAATATGCCAAAAGATACCGACACTTTGGGTTAGCTGACATGTACACATGTATATACATCTGTAAACCTGAAGTTTGCCTTCTTAACAGCTAAAATATACGAAGTATGTAGAAGTCTGTTCAAATATACGCGACGTAGGAGTAACTGATAGATTAATAGTCTGTTTTTATTTTGCCCCCCCAAAATTCAGAACGTCATAGGAAGTTTTGAGTCCCGTCTTAATCTTACCGTGCTAGCTGTCTGCCTCTCCCACAAATTAAGCAGCCGAAACAGACAAACTAGCACGGTCCGCGATGGGCGGAGCCCCTTCAGTTACGTTTCCTGTTAACGGTGGTGTCACTGTTTATTTTCCATGAAGAGGAAATTCTCACCTTTTTTTTAACCGGAGTTTTTTTTTTCTTTTTCGTGGTGCTAGCGGATTTGTAAACATAATGGTTATACTCACTTAAGTTTTCCAACAGTGTTGCAGATCTGTCCGTTCCCTCGTGTTTTGCTTTCAGCTCCAGATTTAGATTGTGTTTACATATTGCTGCAACATAAACACTTAAATAAACAAGTAAAAAGACACGTGCTCTTCACTACTGGACAAAAGTGAAACCTTAGCAATGAAAAATTGAGCCCTTGCGCAATCTTTTATTCAACAAATGTCTCGCTGAGGGAGAATATAACGGCGTTCTGATGGTGAAACAATCCAATACACACAACAAGCAGGCTTGATATACAAATATAAATATGAAATGTTGAATTATCCCTTTAACTGACTTGTTATGGACATAAGAATTGTGAATAAAAGAAAGACACAGCCATTTGAGCTCTGTATTCTTAGCTGTCATGCCTCCAATTACTTTGGTTTCACCCCGAGATCCCTCAACTCAAGGATAAAAATGTTTTTAAAAAATCATGTAAAACTGAAAGACCCAGGGACCATATGTACAACTGATCCATTATTTACGCGCAAGTAAGAAAATAATTCTGACATCCAACCCACAAAAGATGCACCGAAGGTCATGACTTGTCTAAATAAGGCAAAAAAAGAACTTTTATGCACGTGCATATCCGCTGATGCATTTCATGACTTCTTTAAGTGAGTATTTGCTGATGTGATGCATTACACAGAGAGAAAAAGGCACCATTTTTGCTTTTTACATGATTTCGAATCGCATTTGACACATTTTTGCAAATTCCTCTCGGAGGTCTGAGGTTTGATGCTTTCTCTTTTCTTTCCCAAACAACACCAGAGCTATAATTTACATTGCTCCATGCACTGATTACAGAAAGAGGGTGCAGGAGTTGAGGACAGGTGGAACACGGAGAGGTAAGTCTGGTTGAAGGAATCTGTTTTACTTGAAGGACTCGGGCACGTTGACGGCGTTCGGGGGTTTTAGCTTGTAGGAATTGAAGAATGAGGCCAGTTGATCCGGAAGCTCGGCCAGGACGCTCTGGGCCAGGGCCACGCTGCTTCCCTGCAACGAGAACCACACCCCCAACCACCCATCAGTGGCAAAAGAACTGAAACACGCTCTCTTCCAAATCAATTCCTATCACTTTCTGCAGATGTT